TAAACTTAGGCAGAGTATTCTTTTGTTACACTGCTATACTGTGCAGAGTACTTAGACAGCATAGACGCCAAGCTAGTTACAGTAATGTAACGATCAATAAATTGTTCTAATTATGACTGAACTTGATTCTAAACATCATTTTCATGAAGATTATTGTCGATGTATATGCGTGTCTTATAAACATAATTAATATTCAATAATAATTCGTGCTGTTGTATGATAAGAAGTCATTGCAAACATAGTTCTCGATAATGAGCTACCCAGGACAAATATGGAATTCGTTTGTTCACAATAGAGAGATGTAATGTACAAGCATTATTGGTGTGTTTTTAAAATAGATTTGTTTGTTTGTTCAACGTTTTGCAACGAACGCCTACACTGTTTAATAGCTGATATTGATACCACGACAAGCTGTAGTTTTATTAATTTTCTTTATTTAATCTCGTAAAAGTTAGCGTGAGTTTTTGTATAGCTATATGATTTGATAAATACTCTATATACTTTGGCAAAAGAAGTAGATCGTTTCTTCAGATTTAATTTAGAACATACACATGAGGATAATCGCAATCAAAGAAACAGTTCCATCACAGATCCGATAAACTTTATATTTCATTCGACCCTAGAAGTTTAAGATTTTCACAATTATGCAATCTGGCTAGCCGGTCAATTCTGCAACGAGTTGCGCCCCTTTCAACCTTGACATTGTAGGTCAGCAACATGGCGACTGCTAACATTCTGAGAGCCTGCAGTCGAGGTAAATGTGTTGTTTTCTCGCATGCTTATTTGGTCAGTGTAATGAAATTGCAAAAACAGGACATATAGACAACATGCTTTGAAATTTAGCCCTTTCAAAATCAGTAAAATTGTAATATTTCCATTACAACATGTGTCAGTTTCGTAACTTGGTGTTCAAAACTGGGATAAGTTTTTCAAGTTCTCATGCCGACGAACAGTTGTCTGTTGCATTGAAACAATTTCACTATGTTACATACATGATTTTGCAATGTCAAACATGCTACTTTATGAACTGAATAAAGATTGACGAAGTAAATAATTAGGGTAAACGAAGATGTACTTCCTTTATCTGACCTTTCCCAGATTCACAGCAAGTACAAGGTCATTCTTTCGGCTTCACTGGTATTGTAAACATTGTTGTCGTTTTCGCATGAAGTTATGAAAAATACCTAATTTCAATTTCAAATATCCAGTTTACACCAACAAATGGATTCAATCATGACTTAAAAAGATAAAATCACGGGAGTTATGGAGGATCACAAAGCTCAAGATTTAAAGATGGACTAGCTTTGAAGTTGTTGGGGTTTTTTTTCAAATGTGATGTCAGCAGGAAGTTGGGAACATTTTACAAACTTGTAGTTTTCTTTTGAAAGTTCTGCTCAAAGTGTTTCAGACATGGGTCCCTTTCAGATTTTGGGGTGCAGTTTATAGAGTAACTGGCTGCTTCGGCATGTTGTTGTTCTTGCTTCACAGATCTTGAATGCCTCTGATCCTTAGAGTCATCAGTGTTAGTATTTCACGTATGTTGTCCCCAGCTCAATCCTGAACCACTTTGGTCCCTTTTCTGACCATTAGGAATGCATTGAATGCCATCTCTTTCCATCAAACACCCCTTCACAATCATTAGGGTAAGGCACCCCTTATCTATCAAAGAATCCTTTCAGATTCTTTGCATTACATTCAACTCTATGATCCTTAGAGTAAGTTGTCACGTAGTGTGTTAGCTATCTCATCTCTTTTAACAAATGAATACAGTGTAACTTATTGAGTAAACAGAAGGGTAGTAATCACTTGGTAAATGAAGACAAAGAACTTGTTATGGTGCCATTTGTCCTGTTGTAAAGTGTTGTGTAATTAGTTTAACTTATTAACCTAGCTCAACTTCAAGCTGTCAACATGACATCCTGTGCGGTTAATCAAAATCTGTGTGTTTGAGTAAAGCACAATATTCCCTGATCGTGATATAGCATGGCTGCTAATATTAATGTTTCTTTATTAGATGATGGTTGGGTGCACGAGAAGAAATGTTTGGTCTAACAAATGGGGAATGTTGATGAAAATATGATACATGTATAAACATTTTCTCAGACTTAATTATGAAATGTGTGAACACCCAAGGGGTAGTATTGGTAATGTTGATAAAGGTTTGATAAGCCATTTGACAAGTGTTATAGTTACTAAGGCTGCAATGAATATGCCATGAGGTGAATATGGTATGTTTTACGAAGATATAGTAACGAATACAAATATCTATTCGTGAATATTTTTTGCTTAATATCAAGAAATTAAAATCAAAATTATGTCATATAATTGCTTAAGTTGAAACATTTATATGATTTTTTCTATAAAGCCAAAACAATTAGTAGCCAAATGACAGTACCTAATAACGCAAGTTATGCTACTTCATGACTTGGATATATTCCATTTTGCATATCTCACTAAACAACAAACTAGTTCCAAGTAAAAACACTCTCTTAAAAATATTGATTAAAAAATTCGCCTTTAGAGTCCACAAATAATTAATTCAATTCATGAAGGAGTACATTTTGAGTCACCGATTCCGCAAGTGAAAGGGCTTAATAATACTAATAATTACTACTGGTTATTAACATTATATAATATTAGGCGCCTACCTTAATTGGTTATCATTGTTATGTACATCAATATCCATCACATTAATCAACAAATCATGAATCTACACGAAAGAACTTGTTCTTTGTCACCATATTCACCTGCTTTTATAACATTTTGATATTTTTATGCCCCCGCCATATATGGCTGGGGGCATATAGGGTTACCCTCCGTGTCCGTCTGTCCGTCCATTCGAAACAGGGAATGTACTCTATCCACTTCTCCACAAAAAAACGCTCTGTCGAATTCAATGAACTTATACATGGGCTTTCTTGGGACTCTAATGGTGTGCATCTCATATTTTGTTTTTGTATTTTATTGTTTTTTTGTAAGTTTAGAGACATTTGAACTTAGATAAGTTTTGTTGAATTTCTCTCTGATGATAGTGAAATAGGGGGTTAAGTCTGTCCACTTCTCCACAAAAACTGCTCAACAGAATTCATTAAGCTTATACATGTGTTTCATTGGGACACGAAAGGTGTGCATCTCATAGTTGCATTGATGTTTATTGAACTTGTTTGTGAATTTTGTTCAATTATTGAACTTTATATGTCTTATGAATGTCAGTGGGGTCATCCGTGTCCCAGGACACAATTTTTTCTTGTTAAAAAATGTATAAGACATCTATTTCTGGAATATCATGATTTCTGTTTGTTTCTCAACTGATCACATTTATTTGTTTCAAGTGCTTCAGATAGGTTCCAAGATTGATTAGTCAACTATATTAGGACACAACCCCAGATTTCTTGATGCTCTATTTATTTTTTTTTGTGAGTGAAATCTATTGAGTTGGATAACAATGATAATGATGATAATCATTGAAGATATTATCAACTAATCCTATAAACTCTGGTTTTACAACATGGGTAGGCCCTTTACTTCTAGAGATGCTGCATCTATAAACACTAGCACAACTCCATGCCCTGTTACCTCCCTGTCAGCAGGAAGCAGGTTCAGGCTGCACAGTTCTGCAAAGATTATCAAGCTCAACTTTATGATGACGGGCGGTGGGGCAGGTTAATGGTTAAAGCTTCCACTCGGGTTCGATTCCCCACATGGGTACAATGTGTGAAGCCTATTTTCACTCACTTAGATGACAAATTAGATAAAACTTAAAAAGCCGTACTATAGTGACAATAAGTGCAATTAGATCTTGTATCCTTTTCAATTTGCATATAGGTACATGTATTTCTAAAAATATCTGACTCTGTTGATAGAACCCAGGCATCACATGTACATGAATGATTCTGCAGTGAATAATACATTAGAAGCTGTTACACCTCACATATTGTTACCTCACCTCACATATGTATGTCACTGTTTTGAGTTCATGCAGCATGTAACAGACTTCCGACAGTTCACAGGCCGCTTCAAATACAATGTCAGCATAATCAGCACCTTTAGCTGAATTAGTCACAAAAAGCTGTATGCATATGAGCACCTAACGTAGTGAAACTATCCTGAATTCTCAAGGAAACCTTCCAAAGCCCAGTGATTGATAACTTATGAGTAAATGGTCAGTGGCTCAAGAAGTACAGGGAACTGTGTGTAGAAGACCAACATTCACTGGATTATAAAATCGTCTGAAAAAGTCCAGCTGGTGTAAAGGCTAACATCTGTGAAGCCATGTTGAAATGGATGCTGGGCGGTTTGATCTGAAAACTGTTACTGATAAGATATTCAGGAATCATTGTCAGTCAGTACACAGATGTTGCCATGTGTTACAGTGAACAGTCAAAAGTAGACATAAAATATAAATATTCTAACATGTTCAACACAAGTACAAAGGCATGAAACCATGTGCTTGAATGATGACATATATCTTGTGAATGTACAATGAATAAACTATTTGAAAATAATACAGTAAAGTTTTAGAAAAATGAGTGCATGCTGGTTTATTAAAACTGCTTTGAAAATTCCCAGGGTATTTTTATCTCATTGTGACATCTACTGATCATGATAACAATAAATTGAACAGTTCAATTCGGAACCCTTGCTATCTCACTTTCATTTTACTGTTAGCGTAATACTTCTTAAGTCATTAAACGGATTCCATTACTGAATTTGCCATATGACCCAAAAAATTTGTAAGGTGCTGCAATTCACTGTTCAGAGTAGCCTCCCTTTGGCTTGTAGAACTTGCTTTTCATGACTTTGAATCCCTCATTCAGCCTTATTGTCATGTTTGGTTTGTCACACTATACCCATTACTGTTTTGATTGCTTGTTGAACTGTTTACGAAATATGTCGGGTGAGCTACAGAGCCCAGTGGCTCTGTTTTCAGCCCATTTTAAACTATTGTTCACTGTTGTCATAACATTCAGTTGAGAAGGATTCCTTTTCTTTTTTCTAGGTTCACAATGCATTTTATTTCGCTTTCAAAATGCATCGTCTCCTGTGGCAATGTCCAAGAAGACAATTGCAGTCAGTTCTCAGTCGATGTCGGCTCTTGATTACTTCCCGAGCCAGGAGAGGCCCCTTCACACCAGGTAACAAGTCATAGAATCAATAATAGTGAAGTGATATGACACAATTAAGTGCTCTCAGTGTTACGGAGATACATGATCTTCAAAACGATACATGGTGCATATGAACACCTGTGTATTGCAAAACATCACAGAACAGTATATATTAACTATATCTTAACTTAATGTATACAGTTTACATAATTAATGAAAGAATAACCCTATCCATGATCTACATAGTGATAAAGGAGAGCTTGACATGTCATCATTGACATCAGTGTCCGATAATTCAGATGTTCGGCATATTTCAGCTTACTGTTACCAGGTTACTGTTTACTGGTTACTGTTGGTCATGGGATAAGAATGTATTATGTTGCATTTGGTAGTTTTTCGATGCAGATTTTTACACTGTTGTCAAGTTGGGGTGACAGGTGGGAGAGGTAGAAACCAGCTCTGTGTCTTACATTCAGTTAAAATCGGGGGAAATTCTGTGGCATTCTTTTAGATACATGAATATTTTAAGAGATATTAAAATGTATGTAATCAACATATATGGTATGTTCTTGGATTTTTGCAATACTCTTAACATGTTAAATTTTTAAAAATGCATAAGGCCAGACCAATTTTATTTCTTGTTTTACAGATCTGCCAGTTGTATTTTTTCAAGAATAAGAAAAAAAAATATAAATGAATTTTCCCCGCTCAAAAAATAAAATCCTGTTTTTATTGGCCAAAAATGTAACCTTACAAGAAATGTTTTTAGGTTGTATTTTGCCCCATATTCACTTCATAAATTGCCAAACGTAAAATACTTTTAGTATTTAGAAGGAATATTACTTTGACTGGTGATTTTATTTTTGTCCCTCCTGCCTTTAGGTTTTCTGAGGACAAAAATCTGTAAAACAAGAAATAAAATTGGTCTGGCCTAATTGACCCTGATTATTCCTCTGTTCAAGATTATTGTGTTCAGTAGGAATGCACAACAAATTTGAATATCAGTACTTTTTCTATCTTTTTTGAAGTCATTGAGTCATGACTCGATATGTTAAGTGCCTGTGTCTAGTGACACTGTAAGTTGTTGACAATGTACCTAGGTGAACTAGCACTTCTTCTAAAGAAGAGCTATGTAGACTGTGCATTTGACTTTAAAATTAACATCTTAATTCTGTGGACCCGTGAAGATCCGGGGTAGAATAGGTCTTCAGCATCCGATGCTGGCCACAAAAGACGACTTTCCTTGTCGTAAGAGGCGACTAACGGGATCGGGTGGTCAGGCTCCCTGACTTGGTTGTCACATGTCATCGGTTCCCAATTGTGCAGATCGATGCTCATGCTGTTGATATTGCTGGTGTATTGTTAAAAGTGGCGAATAAGAACCCATCCTCACTCATTCACTACATAAAACATGGCTGTATATTAAAGACAAAAGTTTGTCTCCCTCTTAAAGAGGTAGGTACACATGTTCAACTGTTTTGTTCCAGAGGAAAAACGTGGAACCGGTCACATGATGATGGCGTCATCTCACTGGAAGATCGAGCGAGTGGTGATGATCTCAATGATTCCCATTATGCCCGCGTGCATCCTGTACCAGGGCCCTGCCATGGACTACGCGATATCCACCGTCGTCTTTCTCCATGGTTACTGGTAAGAGGCTGCTCTTCTATATAGAATTCTGAGGCAGGATAGGTCACCATGCTAATTGTAACTGCAAGCTGAATGAGTAAGGTTGCCACAGGCTTGCCTTTGATTTGGCAGTGTGGCCTTGAAATGGCCTTGAGTTTAAAACTGCCTTCAATTTGGAAGTCTGCCAATGAAATGGCCTTGAGTTTAAAACTGCCTTCAATTTGGAAGTCTGCCAATGAAAAGACCATGAGTTTAAAACTGCCTTGAATTTGGAAGTCTGCCAATGAAAAGACCTTTGAGTTTAAAACTGCCTTCAATTTGGAAGTCTGCCTATGAAAAGACCTTGAGTTTAAAACTGCCTTGAATTTGAAAGTCTGCCAATGAAAAGACCTTGAGTTTAAAACTGCCTTCACTTCTTCAACCACCTGACAGTGTGTGTCAAATATGTTTGAGTCTACCATTCGGAAATACAATCCATAGAGTTGCATTGTATCTTCTCACTAAAGCATAAGAATTTATTAGCAAAACTTTGGATGTGTGGATAAAGTTGCAGACTTTGCTGTAGTTGTAGACTGTAGGGCTGCAACAATTCACCCAAAACACGATTCGAGTCGATTTTCGATATTGAACCCTCGATTCGATCATTTTTTATTCGATTCTTCATACAAGTAAAAACATCACATTTCATTTAACTCTCAGAGTCAGCTTTTTTAGCATGAAATCCATCGTCAACTTGGCAATGTCTACTAACAACAATTCTCATTGGATAATTAGCCTGGCATCAACGAATAACGTTTAGCCTTATTTCAGCGCTCGAAACTTCTCGAAACTGCTCGAGTTGGAGTCAAAATTACGTTCTTGCTGTGTGGATATAATATAAATAGGTATTCAAATATTGAATCGAATTAGTGATAAAGATTAATGTAAATCGAAACTAAGGTGTCATATTCGATTATCAATATATCAAAGCAAATCGGTGCAGCCCTAGGAGACTGTTGTTATGATATTTGTAAGGTGACATGGATCTTAACATCTTTACTAAACATTATTAAACAAACATTGTTTGATCATTTTGACGTTTATTTGGATAGTACATAAGGCTGTTATGATTCACTCGCATATTCGGTGAATCGAACCGTAGCCCTTCATGAATTCAATTCGTTATTCGTGGTCACCAGAACCGAATATTCATGAATATTTACTTTTTTTATAAGGGAGTCTGTTTTACTTGAACCCTTTTGTCGTTTTTCAAAACGAGATATGCAAGAATGCATTATGTACTAGCCTTGTAGTAGCGCAAGTCATGTTAGTTTGCCAAGGGCGGACATGTTACTGTCAACTATAACTATTACATACCAAAACTGAGTGTCATGAGATGACTGGTTATTGCTGTGACAAATTAACACTGTCAACATGGGCATTCAATATTGTGCATCAATAACTTAACTACAATATTGTATTCATGAATAATTATTCGTATTCGTTACCCAACATTCGAGATACGTATCATATTCGCAACATAGTGTATTCATTACAGCCCTAATAGTACATGTTAAAAGTGTATTCAGGTGCACAAACTGGATAAGTGACAATGAAATATAGTATGAATGTTCCCATAAATATTATTTGGGGACCCAAAATCCAAAAGAGCTCACATAAACATCTGAAAGGGTGCTTTTACATATATTCAAGGGGACCTAATCATGAAGTCACTGCAGTTGTCTCCCTTTGGTAGGCCAGCGACATAAGGACATGTTTTCAAGTCCCAGATTTGTCACCCCATACTTATCCTCATGTGTTTCACCAAAATAGTAAACTTCTGAGACTTGCATTACTTATGGTTTCCTACCCCATTACCTAAAATACTGAAATTGTAACTGTGTAATGTGAATAACAAATTGCATGCTTTTGAATTTAGTGCTTGTATACTTTCTGTTTTTAAATGACTGACTGACTGACTGAGTTTGGTTTTACGCCCTTTTAGCAATATTCCAGCAACATCACTGGGGACACTAGAAATGGGCTTCACACATTGTACCCATTGGGGCATTCGAACCCGGGTCTTCGGCGTGACGAGCCAACGCTTTAACCATTAGGCTACCCCACTGCCCCTGTTTTAAATGACAGTGAAATGAATATATAAGTCTTTGAAATAAAACTCATATGGATTTTGTATTTGAAATGTTTATTAAAGCAGACTTGTTCTCGTCACTATATGGCTGGAAAAATGCTGATGTGACGTAAAGCCCAACTCAACTCAACCTAAAATACTGTGATAGAATTGAAATATTCTTCAAAGCAGCATTAAGCCAGACATGTACGGGATGTTCAATACTTCATTTTCGATAGCTGCATGTCTGTTCTCTCCTATTTCCAGGGGCATCAGCGGAGTGTTGTCAGACTACCTAGAGAAGTTTGTCCCCTGGATCAAGTACCCGTGGTATCTCATCAGCATCCTCACCTTCGCAGGCCTCCTCAACCTTAATTACAATGATGTTGGTGTGTGCACAGCTATCAAGATGTTGTGGCAGATCTAACTTTACTATTATTGAAATGGCTCATCACATAATTGCTTCAGGGAGGTGGATGCAAGTGTTGGCGTGACGTCGACACGTTACTGGAGGTGTTTCTGTAGACAATGGACTTAAGAGTCTTTGTGATCCAGCATGCATGTGCAGTGTCGGTAATTATTTTTATGTCCCGAGTCGTCCTGAGGACTAGTGAGAACATGATTTCTCTCATCTTCGGAGTTTGTAGTTTGTTCTGCTTGATAACGACAAAAATATTCACTACCTGTTTTTTTAGTTCAGTTTGTAGCAAAATTGAAACTTTAAGAACTAGTTCAAAATTAGCCCTAATCACTACTAGCCAATGAATCTTGGGATTTTCACTTGTCAGCACAGTTACGTAGTGTCGGGTAGCAGACTGAGTTTGATGTTCTTACGCATTGTGGGAATTTAACTTGTGTAGTTAACTAATTAACACTTCTATTTTCTTATACGTGTAACCATGGTTACAGATTCTGTTATGTAGCAAAATTGGTTTAAAGTCCTTTTCTAACCTCTATACATCGTAATATATTTATGCATAAGTAAAGATTAAAAGCATAGGAAAAAATTATTTAAATTTATGAATGACTGAAATGACTCTGCATGGATTGCTAGTCCACTGTTTTAATGACTATTGAGTTTATGATGTTTGTTGCTGGTACAAAAGTGCTTCACACATTAACCCCAGGTAGTGGTCTGTGATGACTCATGGTGCTAAGCTTAGTTAGCATCCCCAGCACCGAGTGGTTCGAGTCTTGGTTATCCAGTGAGACCAATATGCCAACCAGCTCATATATGCAATGAACGTTTACTTACATACATGTGCTTGTGTTGATGTTGTTGTTATCAGATCTGTTTGAAGTTGGAGTGACTAGCGAGGTCAGATGTGTCATTCCACTGTTTGTGTAGGCTTGTTGGACGAGGATGTACGCCCACTTTTGTCACATAATAAACATCTCCAGCATTGTTACACCAGTGTTGTCTGCTGTCTCATTGAGATGACCACTTGGTCTAGGGGATAGAGTGTCTGCTCAAAGATGGGAAAAATGGGGTTGATCCTGGCTACTTTAGACCCAGACATTTAAAGATGTTACTTCTTGTTACCCAGCCTTGCACTTGCATTGTTACAAGGTTGGTGTTCAAGTTTGGCCACTTCAGACCAAAGACATAAAAAGATGTTATTTGTTGTTCCCAGCATGGCACCTGGCATGAAGGGGATCAAACAAGCACTTCTCAGCTCTGACTCAGTATGATGTATCCGAAAGGGATATCCATGTTTCTTGTATCCACTGCATTTGTTCAGGCAAGCACAACCAAGAGCACACAGGCAACATAAATGTTTTACTCCATGAGGGTTTGACATGCAGACTTACCACATAATACATGTCATCATATCCCCACTGGTAGATGGATGCTCATGTCATCACTGGACTGTTTTTTCCATTATTGATGAAATACAGTCCTCTGTCCTTTAGCTAAATTATTGCCTATACTAGTACTGTCGTTTAGCTAAATTATTGCTTAGTATTGCATTTACTAACAAATTATGTCCCTTATATATGCCAGAAACAAATGACTGTGGATTCAAATCCCAGATAGTTCTTGATTTCTGTGCATTTCTTACCAAAGTGTTAGATGTATGTCAGAGCTCAAATCAAGCACATCACTTTCCCCCCACACTTAACAGTAATAAAACTCAATGTTCAAAGTGCCTTGTAACCAACTCGCTGGCTGTTTCTTAGTGGTATTGTATTAAAGAGCATGATAAAATATGATAAAGATAAATATTACTGAGGTCAAGAGTCACTTGAAGTCCAGGTGGTTCCTGGTGCATACTTCTGGTGTTTTGGATATGATGGAGACACATTTGTAGCAACTGAAAAACCCATTTTTTTGTGGTGGTGTGCAGTCCTGTGCGTAGGTCACAAATCAGTTGAAGTTAAGCAACGCAGAGAGTCCTTGGATGGGTGACTCCTGAGAGTTTCTAGGACTTCAGTCCTGCCCCACAACAAAGCACATGAGATTCATGTGGTCTCACCTTAGGAAAGTCAGTTTGTTCAAACTTTCCTCTGTTCACCCAGCAGAAAATGGGTACCCAGTGGGATAAGTCATGTAACCTTCTAGTGCCTCATACCCGTGAAGGACCGGGTTAGAATGAACCTTCAGTAACCCATGCTTGTCGTAAGAGGCAACTAACGGGATCGGGTGGTCAGGCTCCCTGACTTTGTTGACTCACATCATCGGTGTCCAATTGCGCAGATTGATGTTCATGCTGTTGGTCACTGGATTGTCTGGTCCAGACTCTATTATTTACAGACCGTTGCCATATAGCTGGAATATTGCTGAGTGCGGCATAAAACTAAACTCACTCTAGTTCCTCACCTCTGGCACAGCTTGGGTTATCCAGCTTGGGTTATCCAGGGTAATAATAATTAGATTGTAGCGCTTTGAGCATGCCCCTCAGTGATGTGGAATTCAGCGCATTACAAATGCCACCCATGCTTTTTGCAAAATGCAGTTTCACCCTTGACTTTCCTTGGCTATTTAAATAGCTTTTTCGACTTCATTGTCAGTTCAATACATGAACTTCAATTCATGTTATGAACAATGGCACGAAGGAGATTGTCAGAGGCTATGAGATGGCAAATTATTGGGCATCATTTAGCAGGACTGTCGTACAAAGAAATTTGGAGGACTGGTTACCACTATACGGTAATCAGTGGTTTAGTGCGAAAACATGCCCAAACAAATCATGTTCACGATCGTCCCGTTCCGGTAGCCCCGAGCTACCACACTGCAAGAGGACAGGGACCTATTGCATCATCAACGACGTCAACTGTTCGCCTCAAGTACCGTATTGAAATAGGCGTGGCTACCGTATAGACGGTTGAGCAATCAGACCGTGAGGAACCGCCTCAAAGCAGCAGGATTGAGGGCCCGACGTGCCATCAGACATCCATACCTCACAAATCGCTACAAACGGGATCGTAGGATGTGGTGTGGTCACTGTGGTGATAGGCAGCGGTGGAACCTGAGGTCTTGGAGACGAATCCACTGGTCGGATGAGAGTCGTTTCCTCCTTCATACTGTTGATGGGCGAATCAGAGTATGGAGAGATAACAACAGCCGGAACACATCAAGGAACATTCTGCGAACACTACCATATGGTGGTGGATCCGTTATGGTGTGGGGTTGCTTTTCGTTTGATTGCAAGTTGGATTTAGTTATACTACAGGGTACACTTACGGGCGCTCGCTACATTTATATGACGTGCTGGATCCAGTTGTGATTGATCATTTTGATGACCACAGACTTGCCCACTCGGCCACTGTTCATGGACGATAATGCCCGCCCTCACTGTTCCTGAGCTGTGGCCAACATCTGGAGAACAATGGTGTTACTCGAATACTAGTACCATGGCCAGCAATGTCTCCAGATGTAAATCCTATTGAGCATGTCTGGCACATAATGGGTCGACGTTTTCAAAGAAGAAACCCTTCTCCACAAAGTCTGAGGCAACTGGAGGCAGTACTTCACAAGGAGTGGCAGCAATTCCCCATAAGAACAATTCAGGCGACTTGTCAGGAGTATGCCCAGAAGACCGACCGCTGTAATTCAGGCGCTTGGTGGCAGCACACGTTATTGACATTGTATGGTTTCTAGGACACTGACTCAGATGTTTCAATCTGATTTCTTCAAAAGGCTCATCCTTCAGACTTGTAATGACCATACGTTCATGCATTTGTGTTTTTGACCATATTCCATTTATTTTTCGTTCTGTGTTTTGGGGCACTTGCAGTCCTTGAAAAATATATCTTTTATGCAACGAATAAATCATTGATTGATCTTTCTCTTGCAATTTGTTTTGCATCTGTGCTATCTTTAGCTTCTCCACAATGTGTCTTTGAAACTTCCCCCCCATCACAAAAATCATGGGGGTGGTTAACTTTTTTTACTGGGTATATAAAGATAATCCGATAAATTATATGATAACCTAACACATTTATAGTAACCCAGTACATTATATGATGATAACCCAATACAATGTACAATATTAACCCAGATTACAAATTATAAATAGAATCTCACCCAAGTGTCCTGATATCAAATATATCAACATGAGTTGATCAAAGTTACCAATATCCCAGTGTTCTCAGAGAGGTCATAGCATTGTGATTTCATCAGCTTCGTGACATAGCATTGTCAGCTGTGTTTCTTAGTGATGCCAAAGCATTGTGAGGTCATTAACCGATGATGTAATAGCACTATGACAGATCAGTTGTTGCTATCACACAAGTGACATCTACTGTGGGAGCCAGTGTTGAATGATAAATGATGATATACAATGACAACCAATTACATTTTATGACAACCCAGTACATTATTTTATGATAACCCAGTCATTATTATAAGGGTAACGCTATTTTTCAGGGCATTGTCATTTGCAGAAACCCGAGGTCTTTCATTAACTGCTCAACGAAGGTGGGCAGTTGAAAAGACCGAGGGCTTCTGCAAATGATAATGCCCTGAAAAATAGCCTTACCGTTATTATAGCTAAAAGGGATAGAATTTTTAATAAAATAGAAACAAACACACATCACTATTGAGAGTGACGACATTCGACCTTGACCTTTGCCCATACTACCACCCGCCATGTTTGTTCAATGCTCAACAACGTTAGTTCCAGTCGATGTTTTCATTGCTGCATGTTGTAATTTATGGTACAATTGTTAAAGTGGGCACAGGCAAGAAAGTGCATAATGGCACAGGTACATGTGACGAACGTGAGTCAGAAATATCGTCAATATTGAACCTAAGTTCAAACGAGCCGTAGGTGATTGAACATCAAGAGCTGAGCTCCTTATATATATGACGTCACCTAACAACGGGCATGATAATGGCCCGTCGTCAAGCAATTTCGGGGCATCATCAAGTTTTATAGCTAAAATACATGGAATTATCATGAAAACTGCCCTCCCATTATCAGAAATTTGCGGGCCGCTGCAAATGATATTGGACCGCTCAACCTTAACGACGGGCCAATCAGTTCTGTTGTCAAGTGACGTCATAGTGGGTGCGTGGGCATAAGGTTCATTCGACATAGGGCCCGTAAGTAGGTCACGGCACTTCGCGAGAGATTACGTTGTTTAGTACTTCCGGTGACAAACAACGTTTTTCGGCAATGGCGATAACACTGTTACATGGGGTATGCCGTGGATAATCTAGTAGCGGAAGTAGCGCCTCGCGAGACTTACGGGCCCTATTAATATTGGCTTTCGACTGGCAAATATTCTGGGGCAAACAAGTCAGAGCAACCCGAATTCCCGCTTTAAATAGCGGTAATATTGGGTTTCTTGCTGGTGCTAACCTCAACAATTGCACTATTAACGCTGTTGTTGGACCAAAACCGAACACTGACAACTGACGTTGTTGTCTGACATAGTTTGACATGTTGCAGGCCATGGTCTTGCCAAAGGCCAAGGTCGAATATCGTCACGTTCTGTTGTGACGTCACTTGAATTGTTCGATGACGTAATTGCATTCGGGCAGTCAACCCCGTCAGAAGTTGGTTTTGAGTAAACTTACAGTCAAATTCCTTCATTGTTTCCTTTTTCTTTTCAACACAAATTCCATGTATTTTAGCAATATGAACGGTAATGCTATTTTTGAGGGCATTATCATTTGCAGAAGCCCTCGGGCTTTTCCAACTGCCCTCCTTCGCCGGGCAGTTAATGGAAGACCTCGGGCTTCTGCAAATGATAATGCCCTTAAAAATAGCATTACCCTTATAACAGTGGCCCGCTCATTTATGATAATATGCGTTCGTTTTAATGATAATTCTATCCATTTTAGCTATAAATCATGATAACCCAGTACATGTTCCGTAAAACCACACCAACAGTTCCAAGAGGGGTTCAAGGAAGGTCCATAGAGTACTGATCGCTCTGACCGACAAGGACAGCCGAGGGGAGAGTAGGCTACTAAAACAAGTCTTTCCCGGTCACAGCTATGTACCTCCATATTTGTTCTCTGTCAGGACAGCATTGTGTCTGTCGTACACAGATTAGGTTAGTTTGAGGAGGAAGTGCTTGGTGTCAAGGATGGTATGCAAGCGCGTAGCAAGCCAATTTTGTCGTGTAAGCCCGATAGGTTGTAAAGCTTTATATATACAGTATTTAGATAGTATTGAAGGCTTGCCCAACCTATTTAGCAACAATTATGTGTAAGCCTGGTGTGTTTTTTTATAATGGTAGCTACGCCCCTGGTATGATCCGTATGGGGAAAAGGCTGCAACATATCATCAAAGACGCAAAGACATCATTGAAGGCCGAATTGGGGGAGAACATACGTGTACCGATGACACAAGCCATTCTAGGAGAGCGTTTCAAGGCATTGTGAAATGTCAGGTTGTGCCTGTCCGATACAGAGCTACCAGTAGAGAGGCAGAGGCAGTTGCATCAAGTCTCAAGGTCACTTAAAGACTTCCTAGACGATAAGACCGCAGTTCGTGAAGCTGCCTTGAAGTAGGCAGATGTTTGGAATCAAGAGACAATCCAGTGATTGACATCATGAGCATCGATCTACACAATTGGGATACAATGACATGTGTCAATCAAGTCAGCGAGCCTGACCACCCGATCCCGTTAGTCGCTTTTTACGACTGTCGGTATTTTACTGAAGATCAATTCAAACACGGATCTTCACGAGTGATGACACTAACAGTGACTAAGATCTGAGGAGAATAGAGATAAGATCTTGATTGCTCCACTGGGCATATGTTCAAAACTTTCATAATAACAGTGTCTAATGGTGGAACAGCTGTTACCTCCGTAGGAACAGAAACCATTATATGGTCTCTAGTAGGAAAGACAAACACGCAGGCCAGGCACGGTAACAATAAGTACTATCACCAATAATAATTACTAAGGGCAGTGACCTACAATAGTATTATTACGGTCTCTGCTCAGGTTCAATCATTCATGCGAGTCCGAAACTGGATCAAGCAGCTCTAGAGCAGAATCGTTTAGTCTTCTTTGAAATCTTGGCAGAAAGAGTAAGCTCTTTTGTACCCAAAATGTTGTGGATTGTACAGTAGACACCATGGGCTGGAGCTAGGGGAATAATGTTGGACAGAACGGAAAGTTGGCTGTTCTACTGGAATGCCGAGAAAATAGCACCTTTTTCACACTCCGGCGCGGTGATGACTTAGCACTGTACTATGCTGGCTGGCCGCATGGAACAGTGCACCTTTTTCTGTTTGCAATTCCCGTGAACCTGTTTGACCCACCAGCAGCGTTGGTTGCACGGGCGTATGTGCATGCGGGGCCAGATGGCTAAGTGCTTCAGAGTGGTCAATTTCATATTAATTTCGGTTAGCTGCAGTCGGCTGGGGCAAAGCAACCTCGTCTCACGCAACCAAATTACCGAGCATGACTATCGACAAACCTCGCCCATTTCCGTAATGGCATATATATATGGCTGGACTTATGGACTTATGCCAGTATGATGTAGAGCCCAACTCAAACTCATGAAATGAAAAGTGGCCGAATGGAGATTGTGTTAATAGTCTCCTATGGTAACGAACATCAATTGCTGCTGGCCAGTTTTCCAGCGTATTACAACAAAAACAAGGCCCAGAAGTATATCAGAAACCTCAACAAATCTCTCTCTCTCTCTCTCTCTCTCTCTCTCTCTCTCTCTCTCTCTCTCTCTCTCTCTCTCTCTCTCTCTCTCAAAATGGAAGCTTCGCCCCTGGAAACTCACATAATATGTTTGTTATCCAGTATAATATGTTATATGACGTGTATTTACGGAGAGTGGGCGGCATGATATGATAAGAGTACAAAGACCAATCTCACTCACCTGACCTTCTCCGAATATAACCAATGACAAATCCTTAATGAAAGTGTCCATGATATAGTCTACCTTTGTACCTGTACTTTAGTTCGGCGTTATAAATACATACGGGTATCTGGTGTCACATCTTACCGTAACACTTGTCAATACTCGAGGCTCGTCAACCACCTACAACACACCCCCAGTAATGCGTCCGAAGATATGTAAAATCCCTCGAAGGGATTCACTCACTACTCGTTTCCAAAAATCTCTTTTCAAAGAAGGTTTCAAATATATCATGTATATACTCTGAAAACATTAGACACGCGAAACGATTCTGTCAACGATTACTCTCATGGGCGGATCCAGGAATTTTGAAAGGAGGGGGTTCAGGGGTCTTTCCCACACACACACACACACACCACACACAACACACACACACAATTGGCTCCGCCAAAGCAAAAACATCTTCAATGTGATCTTAAGTCATTTTCAAAAGGGTACCCCCCCTGAGGATCCGCCACTGACTCTGACAAAGTGTATCGAGCGCAGTTGGGATGAAAAATGAGCGTTTAATACCCTGATCTAATTTCGGCGTATACCCGGTGGTGTTTGAACTGTTTCAGTTAGAACTCGAGTTGCAAACGAAAACGTTGTTGTCGATGGGTAAACCCATCGTCCGACATATGTTTGACATTGTTTGTCATTGATAGAATTATTTGCATTGTTATCCTTTGATTAAATGAGGGAGTTTATATATGTCTATGTTTGTACCTAGATTTCCTAATTAAAGGATAGATAGCAAACCAAGGTATAAGTGTTATATTGCTATGAGCGTTATCGTATATAATCAGACTCACTGTTTTCAAAAATCCGTCTATCCTGGTCTAGACTTGGCAAAGACTGATAAACAAACTGAAAAACAAGAGTCGGGAGATAACATATCCCTCAAATTACCGCTTTCTGAGCGTAGCACTTAAAGAAGTTAGAACCATAAAAACGAGTGAGTGAGTTTAGTTTTACGCCGCTATCCAGCAATCAATCACACATTGTACCCATGTGGAGAATCGAACCTGTTTCTTTGGCGTGACTAGCGAACGACTTAACCGCTTGGCTACCCCGTCGCCCCTCCATCAAAAGCGAAAGATCGGGAACGGGTGTTTATTTTCTTCAGTTATTTGAGGTGAGGTGAAATTGGGTTTAACATCGTGCTTGGGAATATTTCGCTCATATGACGACGTGCATGCGTGTGTATGTGTAGGTGCGGCTGCTTGTACTAGCCCAGACGTAAGCTGGTTTTATAGTGCTAACTCACTGAGATACCATGCCGCAGTGAAGCATGAATACCCGACTCAGACACATTATACTGACTCCGAGCCGACCAGTCCTTGTTGTACCCATTAATGCCGAGCGCCAGGCAGGGACCAACAAGTACCATATTTTAACGTCTTTTGGTATGACGCGGCCGGGGATCGAACCCGCGACCTTCCGATCTCCGGGCGGACGCTCTAACTTCAGTTATTTGCAGGTGAGCAAATGCAAAATCAGAATTCCGTTTCTGTAACTTCAAAATGGATCCTTACTTTTTCTGCACGTTCACTTTCAAATAACATTATCCAGATATCTTAATGTACGTACATGTTATTGATGCACATTGAAAACAGCGTATTTATCTCTTAATTATTGCATAAGTCACCACCAAATTATCGTTATTCCAAATCTCGCGTGAAGTCTTAAACAACTGATCCTCAAACAGTAATACGTATACATTTTTCTTACCGTTTGAATGAATTGAAAAATAACTCTATTGGAAATTTCGGTATTGGTTATATATTGACTGTAACATAAACAGAAGATACGTAGGCATTGCTCAGTTGAAATTGTTAGTCTGTATGTTACAAGTCAAAATAACGCGAACGAAAACTGCAGAATACCAAGCAAGCGACAGCGTCAACGTTTGCATTCCCCGAAAAATCTAAATTCTTGCTTAAAGATTAGACAAAACAAAAATGTGTTTCATTATTGTTGATCAATGTGACGTTTATATTTACAATACAAGTGAAAAATGCGCCTACGTTTGGAGCAGCATAGGTCGCGAACCAGTCGATATGTTTGGGATATATTGAGACAGGACACCGAAATGGAAGTAGTTCGTCATTGTAAGTGAGTGACTGAATATAGTTTTACTCCGCTTTTAGCAATATTCCAGCAATATCACGGCGAGGGACACCGGAAATGGGCTTCACATATATTGTACCCTTGTCGGGAATCGAATAGACTAATGCTTAGTCTCTGAATATATATAATTTTGATAGTAAAAACAAGCCCATTTAAATTGAAAAGGAGCCCCAGGAGACCAGAGATTCTGAGGAAATCTAGACTTGATTTATTTAGGGCTTTAGCACTGCAGATAGGGCTAGGCAGTAGGGAAAATAATGTTGTTCATGGACTGTGAGACAGACTAGGAATCGAACCACGGCCTTCTGTGTTACGGGCCAACGCTTTAACCACAAGGCTACCCCACCGTCCCCAGTTCGTCATTATGACGTCACTATCGATGAATAACCTAGTTTGGTAATACAACACTCGTTGGATAACTTTCAACTGGTTATACAACACCTGTTTCAAATAGCAAAACGTATCTCATAAAGATATTCAGAACGCCTGTAATAACCAACATTACCTCATAAAGATATTCAGTACACGTGTGTAGCCTAATGTTTCAGGAGCAAATACAAAACAAAACAAATAATAACGAAAACAGATCGTTATCCTTTTTTAAACTACCGTTGGAATGCTACATTTCAGCATGTAGATGATTCTGAAATGAAAACACAAAAAATTTTTTTCACAAAAAAAACTAATTTGTTTTCAATAAATAGGTTATATTTCGACTCGAGTTGAACTCGAGTCCCGCACGAAGACGCCCGCAAATCGACTGGGGAGGTAACTCGTCTCCGTCATCGCAATGAATGACGAGTCGCGCGAAAAAGAGAACGCGAGAGAAGGATAATATGTTTTCGTCGCTGAGATAGTGAATGTTTGATCGATATACATCAAAACCATTCCTACGCAAAGCTGTGAGTATGAACTTTCAAAGAAACCTGTTATGTACGGACAGCAGTGCTTTTCCTTCAAAAGAATTAGTTCCAAACTATGAGTTTCTCTCGCCGAATTTCTCGTCGGGAACAAAATGGCTACTCTTCGAAGGAGTCTTTCACCCGTGTGGGATGGGTCAAGTGAACCTGGACGCGGAGACCCGATTTGTCATTCATTAATTTAATTTGCTGAACAAACTTACTTACACCGCAGCGCGTTTGATCCACCATTGTCAGGTCTGTGATGTCGGATATTATTCAGGCAACGTTTTTGCTGAAGAAAATACTTGACAGATCAATCTTCAACACGAATTTCACCTCTGTACAAGATGGCTGTAGAGTAGGACAACGCGTAGGCCCTGTGTTGAATAACCCTCTTGTAACGGTTAAAAAAAATAAACAGGCGTTTATGAGTTATTGTTTGTAATAAATAAATAAAATCATGTAATGGTAAGCTCAAGGTAGACTTCTAATTAAAATGTGTGAACTTTCCATATGTCCCTATTAAAATTGGCCCGTTTACTGTTTCTGTTTGTACTATTAAACACCATAAGACCCCAACTAAAGACAAAATATATTTCCGTACTGTTCATGATTATACTGTCATCGCCTGCCATAACGCAGGTCCACGATGACCTGCCGCATTATAAAACGCTCACGTTATACAGACCCATGCCAGTTATATTGGGCCTCTTGACGTAATTTCCATATATCTACATGTTATTTCAGTGAAGCATAAATAATTTTCGTGAAGTGAGTTTAGGATGGATCTTTGTAAAATTTGACAGGCAAATGTGAAATCATCTCTGCTCTGCGCACATAAGTTCAGTTAAATTTTACGACCACTATTTCACTAATGACATCACATTTATCCACTTACATATGGTTCCGCAATGCACTCCCATAGGCCACCATGTTAAAGGAGTTCACAGCACTGTACATATTTTGATTAAACTGTTGCGTTTAGATAACTAAGCAACAGAAAATTAAACAGAAATTATGTGATTGTTGGTAAGATTATTCCTCAGAAATGTGGAAAATTTGACTTTGATCAGTACAAAAATTAAATTCATGAAAATTATATATGCTACACAAAATTAACATGTAAGTAGGGGTGACTATTGAGTGGGGGAAACCGCTATTGCTATAGCGATAGTCCTTTGCAACATACTATTACGATAGCGATAGTCTATGTTTCTCCTTGTATTGTCTCATTTGAAGTCATTTCCCAAATAAATGTATAGTTTATATGAAATATAAACAAGTTGAAGAAGTTTCAGTGTCTTAATAACTGACAAGAAACTTGAAACCCAGAGCAAGTAAACAGTTCAAACATTATAAACTCAATGAAGCTGCAAGTCTGCACCCAAACAATGTTTGTCTAAGAGGTAATAGGGACAGATAACTCTAAATCAAAGTGGACGAATTGAGTACTTCTTGTATTTTGCGCTGCGCATTTATCAATGGAAGTCAATTGCTAAACTAACGATAGTCACACATACTATCAATGCATGGAAAGTTTTTCGTTTCTACCATTGATTAACTGATATCTGAGACTCAACAATTGCAATCCATCGATAGTTCGATGCATCGTTACAGCACTACATGTAAGTATATGGAAATTACGTCAAGTGGCCCAATATAACTGGTCTGTGAGGTGAGGTGAAATTTGGTTTAACGTCGTCTTGAGAATATTCCGCTCATATAACTACGTGCATGCATGTGTATGTGCGGCTGCTTGTACTAGCCCAGATTTAAGCTGGTTTTATAGTGCTAGCCCACCGAGATACCACACCATAGAGAAGCATTAAATACCCCACTCAGACACATTATACTAACTCCGAGCCGACCAGTCCTTGTTGTACCCATTAATGCCGAGCGTTTTTATTAAAGGTTAATCAATCATAGTGATTTTGTTGTGCTTTTGCTTTATATTTAAGCATTAACTCGATTATAAATAGTTTTGTTTAAAAAAATAATTCTTGCAATATATTGCAATACATATCGCAATATATGCTTCCGCATCGCAATATGAAAATTCTCTGCAATACCCACCCCTATATATTTTACATGTGTATAGCATAAATAGAGAATACTAATAACACCAATACCTTTCACTTGTTTCATAAATATGTTATTACACGGGACATCGTTTAGCATTTTATTCATTACTCACCCAGCATTAGCAAAATAATGTCTCAGAATTCATTTTAAAGAACGAGTGCATTACGGCATCATAACAGGGCTGTCTAAGTAAACTTAGGCTCAGTATTATTCATTATACTGCTATACTGACAAACCCTAGTAGAAGGTTGCGTCGGCTAACCTTTTGAATTGACCAATCAGAACACAGCTTACCAAATCGCGAAAGTTCACATTCGCACATACCATTTGAACTTTTACCTCGAAAACTCAAACGATTCCGAATGCTACTTTCCGAGTGTTACACATGGAGGACGCGAGTAAACAGTCGCTGAACAAAGCGTTTTTGTCAATATTCCAGGATGTCATCTTGCGGAAATATAAGCTAATATTAACCATGTCATCAAAAACCCTAAGCGTATATACTGCTGGTCAAATATCTGTGTTTTATGCGGATTTTTGTTTGTTGAGCGATCAGTGTCAGCGACCAAGGAAGAGAAAATCCAAAAAACGTTTTGTAAGTCCCGCCGAACGCTAAAATAGTAGCCGTTGTCTGATTGGTTAAATCCGTTCAGGCTGTCTTGCATTTGATTGGACAATTATAATCGATCAATTATAATCGTTTGGACGGTCATTTCATAGTCAAATACTTACGTTAGCGAACTAACTTCCGGGATGTTGTCAGCACGTGTCAATTGTTAACGCTAGCAAGATACTTACATTTGCAGCGTCTTTGGATCATCAAGTATCCTATCGTTTCCGATCGTTATATGTTTTTGATCGGCCATTACAATTCCCGTATATAGCTCGGAAATGTGAGAAAATCCATGAGAAGCATCCCGAATGACAACAAGGCAATCCCCGCTATCGTTCTGACATCGATATGCTACGAATCAAGTTTCCATGCGTAGGCAACAGTATAAAAAACAAACAAGAGATTAATTTTAACTGGGGGATCCTTAATGCAATATCCACCTCATATTCAAATGCACAAAAATCCTAAATCTTTACTCCAAAGATGCCATTAATGTTTCGTCTGCTTAGTTGACATCCCACCTTACAAGATCACGCTACAAGTCATGTGACCTCGCTGGTAGATTTATTTTCATGGCATGCCATTTTAAAAAAACTATTTTGTTTATGTTGAAGGGTGAACAAAGACATTTCCTTAAGGTTGAAACACAAAATATATTCTGGGAAGTATTATAATTTACCACTGAATTGAAAGTTCAAGAGAATTCATGAAACTGAAAATAGCTCTATTTTACCCGCCTTGCGTAAGTCATGTGTTTGTATGCAAATGCAACTCAAGGAATTCCCTCTTTCAGCCAATTAGAAAGTAGCAAACCTGTAATACCTGGGTCGTATTGTGACGTTTTGTTGCATGATTGGACGAATGGGTTTTGCACAGTTTGCTCATGAATATTAAATAATTTCTATAAACCACTTTACAACTCGTAGTATTTCAATGACAAAATAGGACACCCCAATCTAAATATATCTAGCATTGCCATTGGCTGACGGGGGAGGCATGCGCACTTGTGTACTACACAGCTTCCGTTTAAGAGGTAAACAAGCAATGACAACCAGAGTGTTCAGTATAAGAAAACATGACAAGGTAGAATAAAACGTTTTAATGTATGTGCATCCAAATAATGATTATTTCCAATTTTCGATCTGCAGTTTATTTTGTAATCGACATTCGTTTATTTTGACTTAGATCGAACGATTAACCGATGCTACGATTAATCGCTCCAGCACTACCTGTTGATGGTGCTCTTCTAGCGCAGCACCCTCTTGTACAGCGTTTTCTAGCAGGCATGGACAGGATCCAGCTGTCCGGCGGATTAGTCTCCTGTGGGACATGTCTGTCTTTCTTGATTGGCTGTCCGGTCCACTGTTTCACAATCTGTCAGCTCTTTCCTTCCAGCTGTTGACGTGAAGGCGGCATTTCTTGTGGCAGTAAAGTCTGGTAGACGGGTTGGCGACATTCATTCAATGTCAGTCGACCCTGAGCTAACTGTCTTTCATAAGGACAGCATTTGGCTGCAAGATTCTTACCGTCCTAAGAGAGACAGCACCTATTGAGCTTCCCATGTCGCATGTCCGGAACCTCTTTTCGACGTGTTCACATCTTAGTGTTATGTTCACGTTGACATGATTGATGGAGATAAAATGGTCGGAGGGGAGGTACGACTCAGACCTTGTAACCGTAGAGAAATCTAAAGTTAAGATTCTGAGGTATGGGTTAGTAGGTCGAAATAGAAGGGAGAACAAGGTACGAGCCTTATACAATGTCACCTAGTAGATGTTTATTGTATCCCGCCGCAACGCGGAGCGGGGGACTATATTTTCAGCAGCATCTGTACGTAAGTCCTGATTCTTGTTAACGCGATATCTCATTAACTGTACTAACCAATGTCTTCAAATTTGGCGACAGCCTACATTGGGGGATTACACAGACACCAGTTGATTTTGGTGACCTTGACCTTATTTTCAAGGTCACCACGACATTGTGACCACTTTTCAAACTCTTGTTAACGCGATATCTCATGAACTGTTGTACCCAATGTCTTCAAATTTTGGTGATCATATCATATCATATCATATCATATCATATATCATATCATATCATATCATATCATATCATATCATATCATATCATATCATATCACATATCATATCATATCATATCATATCATATCATATCATATCATATCATATCATATCATATCATATCATATCATATCATATCATATCATATCATATCTGGATTTCTATGGAGCCGGTATCCAACTCGAGCTGTTCTATGGCGCATCACAAAGCCTAACTGGCATACG